ACAGCAGGTATTAGAAACATTTAAAAAGTGGATTGTTGATGTCACTGTTCAGAGGTACTACAGCTGGACTACAGTGCTGTGTTTTATGGTATTAGAGAGCAAACTATTTTCTACACAAGATCTGTCCTGTTTGCAGATGTCTTGTGGACTATCTGAATGAAAGATACTGTTGCTGGGGTGACCACAGACCTGATAATCTCAGGCCTTCAGATAAATACCAATTCCAGCACAGAGAAGTGGTCAGTGTCTGTGGCTACAGACACTCCTCTGTGGCAAAGGAAATGCATTTTTAGAAAATACCTTTTAATTACAGTTTTAAGTATCAGCAGACCAAGTCTGAGTCTAAGTGCATCTGTTGAACATTATTACTTACTTTTTTCATTGAACTTGTGATCCTCAAGGCTCCCAGGGACTAATAGCATCAGCTACAGAGCCATGCACCTTTTTTACGTTACCTCCATCATCACCTGTCACGCTTCAGCTATTTCATTTCCAAATTCCTTTTGCAGAAATTAACAGCAGCTGACCTGCTGAGACAGTGGGTTTGTAGACTATCTATCTATCTGTATAGGCTAAAAATAACACTTCTTTTCCCATATGATATTAATAATTTAATCACAGTAAAGACAAGTGTTCTACTTTGTGTTACTGGAATTTCCCATTAATACAACAGAGAATAATTCTGAAAACACATTATTTCTGCAATTGTTTGAAACCATGTTTTTCATCCAGTTTTGTAAAAATGTCTAACAGAACTTCCTCAGTTACATAACTTACTTTAATTTTTTTTTAATTTTTTTTTTAAGTTTCAGTGATGTTTTACCATTATTCTGATAAGTAGCACTAAAACGTGTATGGGCTCAAATCCTAGATGACTCTCACAGTTACACTTGGTAATGCCAGGACAGACAAAATATAAATGCAATAACAAAATATTAAAGTGCTGCAAGCTTCAAAATATTTCTAATCCTCCTTTTAATTTTGATCTAGATTAGGTTTGGGGAATTCTCAAAACAAGAACGTTTGGTAGTAAAAGTCTTCCTGCAAACATTCTTAAACGTGATATGTATTAAGTGCAGTAACAGTGCCACCGAGTGACAATTTAGAGCAATTACGCTTTTTAGGTACTGGAAGTGTTTCAAACAGAAACATTAAAAATGGAGGCCAGAAAGCTGACTTCGGACCAAAGATTTTGTGTAAAACAGAAATAAGAAAAGCTATAAAGTCATATTAAAGATTCTTCAGAAGAATCTATCGAGTTCATGAGTTCCTGTAAATTCCTTTGTTATCTTTCTCCTTCATCCTTAATTTTTAGGTGTATTCCTGCATCTACTCCTTCCTTTGATCTACTAAAAAACAGAAATTTGTAAAAATTTGGCTTTTGAAAATTTCTGAAACTGCCATGAAACTGGTTCCTCTTATTCCTATTGAATGACTAACAAAAATTGTCACGATCCTCAGTCTTTATCTAACCATGTCATAAAATCCCAGTATTTGATTGGACTTTCTTTGCCAACTTTAGTGTCTTAAAAAGGTGTTCACAGTTTTATTCCTCTGGTATTTATAAACCAATCCACTTGCTGCCCAGTATTTATACAGAGCCTGTAGGCACCCATGTTTTTCACTGACCACACTGCACTTTAGTGTAACACTCCACTTTGTGGAGATCTATCATGTTTCTTTTCAGCCCTTATTTTGGAAAGTGAAGCAAATAATTGCCATAAATCTGCTCTCTAGTAACTTATCTACTGTAGAGGATGTCCCTTGTGCTTGAAGATATTTGCTGCTTATCAGGTATTATACATTTATAAAATTCATCCTAGTGTGAACAGGTTTACCTCTATGAGATAAATGTTCTTTTCTGTCCTTTGTAGCAAAAACTTTATAATATCATGTTAATATAGTAATATAATGGAGTAGATGAAATGCCATGTTGAAGAGCGAAGATTTTGTTGACATTGAATTCAACTTATAAATTGGTGATTTTATATATATATATATATATATATATATATATATATATATAGGTTAACATCTTGAACATTTTGGTTTTGGTCTGCTGTGTGCTCCTGTGTTTCTGTAATCAGTAATTGCCATGTCTGATTCACCTGGCCTTTTCCAGCAGTCAGGAAAGCAGGAGGGTAGTACTCAGCAGAAAGGTTCTTGCAGCAGTTTCAGACTCAGTCATTACAGGGTTTGGGTTGGTCTACAGTACATTATTCCAAAGATGCATTTGGGCCAAGTGTTTTGCAATTCATAAAACATTGGGACTCGCCTCCATTTTCAAGATTAATGACTCAAGTACAGCATAGCCAGGGAGCAAGGCTGAACAGTGCACTGAAAACAACCATGTAGAGCTGCTCTGTCTTTGCTCTTGTGTCATAAATCAGGGAAGGGAGAAGGAGATTGAGTTACAGCCAAGAACACACTTCCATTTAGTTTCAAGACTTATATACACTAGGAATGAAAGCCACTTTGTGAGCTAAATTCAGAGCTACTCTAATGGCTCCATTTTCCAGATTAGCTCATGACCCAGGGAAAAAAAAAAAAAAAGGATGTGTTAAACGTAAGAATAAATCTAAACTTGCTCTGCATTTGAAATATATGTTTATTTTGCTGATCCAGTGCTGGTGCTGGAAGAGATGGGAGGAGCAGCCTCAAGAAAGCTGTGTTACTGCTGGCTCTTTTTTCTAGAAATTTCTTCTTATAATCCTGACATTCTCTTTTGTCGTTAATTTATCAGATAAATTAAATTACAAGATAAATTGCAGCAGCTAATACTGCACATAAAAAAAAAGATGAAATAAGAGCAGTAAAAGTTGTAATGAACCTTTCACTTGACATGTCCCTCAGATACTTTGAGGAGCTTTTGTAGGTTGACAGGATGACAGTAGGTTGAACAGTGCACTCATTCTTTTAGTTATATGTAGTATCATTCATTTACACCTAAAAATAAGTTACCACCAGCATTTTCCAGGACTGGCTACAGAGCACACAATGTTGCTGTTGCTTTATAACAGGTATAAAGCAAGGTTGGCTTCATTTACTGCAAACTGCCCTTTGTACAGCTCAATCTCACAAAACATAAACTAGTGCAGTGAAAGGCAGATTGCCTAACTATACCAGCGTTTCTGTGTATTTCTAGAACAGTTTCCAATAACAACAAAGGCCAGTACTTTGATACTGAAAGTTCTGAGAGATGAAAACCCTCATCCTGTGCTGCCCTCCCTGAAGTACTGGCAGTTGCACAGCTGTCCAGAGAGGCAGGTCAACTCACTGCTCTGACCAAATATTACCTTCATCAAAAGGAAATAATTTTGCAAATTCTTCATCAAGGAATTTTGTTCTATATTTTCAATTATGTAATGAAGAATATGATTCTAATTATTAGAATAAAATGTGTACACAATACCCAAAACACAGGAATGGTTTCTACTTGCCTCATTAACTCACTGTAAACCTTTCCTTCTTTATTTCCTTCCCTTAACAATTTAGATGTAATGTATGCCCGTATTATTTAGAACTTGAAATTCCATAAGATCAAAAATTGGCATTATTCAAAAATCAATAAAGAGTAAGTTTTAGTATACTTTTACACCTTTTCTTAAAAAAAGTTTATTCTTAAATTTAAATTCCAAGTTCTAGTTTGGAGTAAAATTTAACATTCAATTTTAGACAGCCTTGACTTGTTGGTGGGAAGTTTAGAGGGGTAAGGTATGTCTTTTTAAGCCTTACTTAAAAAAAAGTAATATGGCATACCAAGATCATTACCAACACTGTTATTGATTTTGCCCCTTTTTCCTGAGGTAAAGATGGCAGTGCTAAATGAGACTGTAGAGCAAGATGATATAATTTCAGAAATGCAGAAAGTTTACAGGAGACTAAAAAAAAAAAACTGGTCTGCTGATCAAAACATTTCGTGGAACTGTTGATAAAGAACAAAAATAAATCATGTATTGACTGTATTTTTCATATGGTAACACGTAAGTAGTTTAATGTGAGAAACAATTTTTTTTCCCAACAGTTTATTTATGGTCCACAGCATAGGATCTTTACATTCCAAAATATACTTTATATTTCACAGATAAATGCTACCTTTGAAGAACTACTTAATAGGCCATTTGGTACCATGTTGTGCAGTTATTTACCAACATTCAAACAGATTTAATTAACTATGTCTTTTGTCTAGAAAAATCAGTTAGCAAAGAAATATATCAGATTAATGTAGCATCAGCTCTTTCATTAGCCAGGATTCCATTTTCTTCTGATAACCTCTTCTGTCCTTTACCATTATTTTTATCTTACACTCATCTTTTAATAAGTTATCCTTGAAATTTTTACTTGAAAATTTCTACTGTATTGAAACCAGAATAAAAGGCCAGGTAGCCGCACAAATAATATTTTTCTCTTTCTTAAGGTAAATTCTTAGGTTTCTTACAATTGTAACATTTTAATAGTCCAGTCACAATATACTGAACAGTCAGATATTTTATGAAAAAGCTAAACCATCAGCCTTCCAGTTTCACACAGGAAACTGCTAATAAAAGTATTGAAATGAATTCTGTAGAAAAAGTTAATAATAAAGAAAGCTATACAATTCCATAAAAAACATAATTAGAGTGTAGATTTTTAAGTCTCCCTTCTTCTAGTCCTCACAGAAGACAATTTCTTTGTATGTGTACTCTTATGTGTGGTGATGATGTCCCTGTTTGATTCATGTAACTACCTTCATATAGATTTTGCTAAGAAAATTGAAATTCATCCCTGCGTAAGGAAGTCTCTTACCCTGCATAATACTGCTGTTTTCCAGCATGACTAGTCACATGCAAGAGGCTGAAATTCATAGTGCAGTTTTATTTGTTAGATGATGGATATTTGTGAAAATATATAAATCAGGCTTCATTTAAATATAGGCATCGTTTTGCATCTCCAAGAAGCTGCAGCATAACAAGTATAATACTCCATATTTCTCTACATTTTGTGAATTTCTTCTTTCACAGGATGGAGTTTCAGCATGGGATCTGCCTACCAGTTCCACAGCTGGCGAGTATTTGTGATTGTCTGTGCACTGCCCTGTGTCTCTTCTGTGGTAGCCCTGACCTTTATGCCGGAAAGCCCACGGTTCCTGCTGGAGGTATGACTTTCCAAAAGGCTTTTAGATTCCAGTCAAAATAACAGGCATTTAGATTGTTCAGAAACTACAGTGAGTATCTTAATTTGTACATATGTTGCACTTACATTTTGGTCTAACATTTAGGTTGGAAAACATGATGAAGCTTGGATGATACTCAAGCAAATTCATGACACAAACATGCGTGCTCGTGGTCAGCCTGAGAAAGTCTTCACAGTGAGTATTGCTTTTAAAGCTAATTACCTAACACGTCAGCAAGCCTTCTGACTGTCAAAGTGGAAGGCTTAAGCAATCAATATTAACACTCTGCATGGCAAAGCCAATTATTTGCATTCTAAATACCTAAATAAAAGATACTGTGAATTCCTACAGAAATTATTGTATATACAATAGATGTTAAGGTATCAGCCTTTGGCCAGCATATTCTTGGGTATATGAACCCACAGTGTGATAATTTTATCTGGTGTAGCAAGATTCCATCTGTGTTTTATTTATTTGTCAAGTTTACTTTGCCCTTAGTAATAATAGTTGGCACATAGGAGTCTGAATTAGTTAGCTATTGTACCTTAAAAGCTTTGGATTTTTTTTCTCTTTTTATCAAGTAAAACAATATTTTTTAAAAATGCATTTTCACTTCTGTGACATAGTAATTTCAGATATTTAGTATTCTTAAAATATCTTGGAAGCTCAGTTGCATCTTTTTAAGGTCTAATGATGAGGCCCTTTTTAAAGTGTTGATCTGTTTCAATTGGAGGAGAAATTGGAAATTAAGAAGTGGCACTTTTTTATGGCATCTTTATGAAGACTATACACAACGATCTTGTCTTCTTGGATACAGTAGGACCAAACAGCACCTCCTTGCTTTGAAATCCAGTCTGCCTTTCAAGCTCATGCTGTGCTGTGGCAGTACAAGCACTCAGCTCCCTCTTGGAGCCATGTGTGGGATGCTTTTCCTCTACCAGAGGCTTTCTTCTTATTATGATGCACATATAACTCAATTAAGAAATCCTCTTAAAGCTTCTGCATTTGCAGGCAATCTTGAGGAATGACCCTCTGACTCTATAACTTCATAACTTTATTCCATTGAGACTTGCAGTTTGTTGTCTTGGATGCAGTTTCCATTGCTTCCATTTAAATCTTTCCACAAAGAAGCTCAAGAATTCCTATATTTAGCTTGAAAGAAGGCTGGCTAGCACTTACCATGTTTAATCCACCTTTACTGGTACACCAGTGACCTACCACTAATCCCATCTAGCTTAATATTTTATTTTCTGATTTAATTTGTGAGTGAAGGGATTTGCCTAACACCATACAGGTACGGTGTAATTTCACAATTGGCTCTTGGTGATCTGAGCTGCTTTCAGACAGAATATGCCTGCTACTAGTAGCTCTGGGAGTTTTTTTCTACTCTCGTTGGTATTCATTGGCTGATTGCACAGTTAACCATAGCACAGATCCCGTGCCCCTTCAGTGCTAGCTTAGGCACAAGGAAAAAGACAGAAATGTGCTGGGAGAAAATGTGAGAGGAAGGATAAGCCTCTCACGTCACTTTGACGTAATTGTAATCACATCCTAAAGCAGCTGTGGAGATGAAAACAAACCGCATGCCTGTTGTATCCAGTTCTTGTGATCTAATAAGTCTTTCTACAATTGTTAAAATGTGAGACTCAACCACTTTATTTATAGTTAGTTTTGTTAATTGGTCAGCCATTAATTTTGCCAGTTTCTGTCTTGAATATTAGGAAAACTCAATTCCAGACATCAAAGAATTGAAAGATTAGAAATACTGTACTGTATGTCAAGGTTAGACATATATAGAATTCCCTATTTTTAGCTTGCATTAGTATGATTAGAAAATGCATCATTCTCTTCTTATTGTACAACATCAGCACTTCATTTTGTAAAACACAGAGAGCAAAGAACTTGTACGTAATTTGTTTGGCACATCCTTTTAGTAGCTTCCTTTTTTTTTTTTTAAATTAGTCCTAGATATTGTGACATTTTGTCTCAGTATTTTATTCACATACCTCTCCCAAACCCCTTTGCTTATTCAATACCATTCAATGACTTAGGCTCTACAATTTTCCTCCACTTCATATTACTAGTTACAACAGACATGCTTTGATAGTATGTTTTCTAATTCTACAGATGATATAATTTTTCCTTCACTACTCCTATGCTTTAAGTGTGATTTCCTTTTATATGTTTTCCTGTATTATATTGACTTAATCTTTTTCTAGAAGCTTTTTCTCACAAGTCATGTTTATTCTTGTTACTCACATTATCGAAGGGATTATCTTCAAACCTTCCAAAAAAGAAGTCATCCACTGATAAACAGTTGCTTTTAGAATTAGAAACCCCAAAATGGAATTCTGGTTACTGAATTGATGGGAGTTGATGGCACTTCATACTTTTGAGAATCTCTCCTGAAAGCAGTGATAGTAACAGAGATGGTAATAAATTAATAGTATCTTCTAACATGGCACCACCCAAGTGTAGTGGTTTGAATTTTGTTTTCCCCCAGAGGCTAAGAAAAGTGGTAGACCCCAAGGGGTGGAAACCCCTGGAAGTTTTGGAGTTGTGTCCAATGGGCGCTCCTGCAAAAATGTAAACATTCCACAACCAGACCGGAAGAGACAAGTTGTAGTTTGGTGGTTGAGGAGAGGTGGCCATGTTGTAGAGCCACGAGGAAGGGGTTCTGAGCCCCTTGGGGCCTCTGGGGCCCCCCAGCCCCTGGCTGGGGGGGACTGCAAAGACCTGGAACAGTGCTAGACTGGACTAAGTGTCTGTAGTTATGCCGGGAGATGTTTTCTCCATGGGCGCAGAGCAGCAGCCAACACTGACCAGAGAAACGGTGGCAGAGAGCCAGGATAGATAAGACCTGAACCGGAGGAGCAGCAGAAGCAACATGCAGCACCGCAGAGAAGACTCCTGGAAGGAGAGCTGAGGAAAAGAGAGCCAGCAGCTGAGAGACAGAGTTCTGGGGGTGAGAACTGATACCAGACCCCCCAAAAAACTCCCTTGAGACCCCTCTTGGAGAAGAGGGACATGGACTCCTATTTTGGAGAGCAGTTTTGGACATGCAGCACCAGAGAGAGAGAGGAGCTAAGAAGCTCAAAAGACGTCCCAGAGCTGGACTGGGACGGCCAGAGGAATGCAGAGGGGGTGACCTTGGCTCCCCCCTCGCACTGCTGCCAAGGCGGCAGCCTGAAGCAGGGCACAGAGGCCCTGCAAGGGGCTGAGTCCCCTGGAGATACCAGACCGTCACGAAGACCCCTGTGCTCGTGATATGACATGATGAAATGACCTTGTCTGGGGTTACGAAGCCCACGGAAGACCCCTCGGTTGGAGGCGATGGGGCCGAGAGAGGTTGGATACCTCCCTCCTGAGTGCTGGCAGAAATCCAGCTATCAGCTGCTGCACGTGGAGAAGACAGACAGACTGCTGCCTCAGAAGATGCTGCTGTTCAGAGACTGAAAGGGATCTGTCCTTCTTTCCTTCCTGGACTTTTATTTGGAGGGGAGAAGAGATCTGGTCCATTGTAAATACATATGTCATGGTAAAGATAGTTGTGATCGTGTGTATAATGTGTTATAGTATTTATTTGTACAGTCATTGTAATATATTCCCTTTCCCCCACTTTGAGTCTGGTGCGTTTTGTCTGGAAAAACCCATCTCACATTAGGTTGAGATGTGGGAGGGGGAATGGAGCTAGGGGATTGGATTTTGGGGCTATCTCAAACCATGACACCAAGTTAAATGTTTATGTATGTGCTTAATTAACTTCCTGGGCTCTTAAAATACATATTCATTAGATGTCTTGGTTCAAATAATAATAATAATAAAAAAAAAATTGTATCCTTAAACCCAAAATTTTCTCCACTCTTTCATTGTCATGTGTTAATTATTTTTTTCCGTGCAAATATTTTCCTATGAAGCAAGTCTTGATTTTGTAAAATTTAAAATATTGCATGTTTCTAGTAATTGCTTTTAAACAAAAGTGTTATTTTCATTAAAATAGGTATTCTTTTTTTTTTTCTTTCATTCTTCATATACTGGCAGCTGAATTTGCATGGTCCAGATGCAAATTCCTGATTCAATAAGATTTTTCATATGTTAAAGAACATCAAGGCCTGGGAACTTTTGTGCCCAATCACATACAGTGGTCCTAAGATATAAATAGTCCCCCAGCCTCCATGTCTCCAAATGAGTCAGGTGCCCAGTGTGGGGAAAAGGCTGCTCCTGAGCCTACAGGAGTGGTACTGGTTTACAAAGTGTAATACAAAAGGCATGCCCTTTCTGCTCAGAGGTGTAGTATGTAAGGATTTCTGCATGTAGGAGATCTCAGATAATCTTTGAGGACTCGAGTCAGTCTTTTCTATAACACATTTCATAAAAGCAGTTAGAATAATGTGAGCAGGATTATTGGAAGAGTCATGACAAGAAGGTTACAGGCTTTGGATAAAGTCATGATCTGGCAAGACAGTGAGCTGTAGTACTTCAGAAATGAGAGTGGTTATAGCTAAAACTGTTTAGTGGGCTTTTCTTTTTTCTTGTTCATGGGATGAGGCTGCTGGTGCATCTGTAAAAGCAATGGGCTCAAAACTAGAACTTCACCATCAATAGTGCTATTACCCAATGTCCTGTAATCCACTATGATACACTTGGAGGTTGAGAGGGGGGGCGTCCTCATTCTGTTAAGAAGAAACACAAGTTATGGCTACTTTCAGAAACTGCAGCCAAACACTGAACAGTCAGTCTCTTGGTCTCTCCTTCCTTCTATGTCAGTCCCTTTCCCCATTTTATTGATTTTCTTTCCAATCTCTATTTGCCTTCTTTGAAAATAAACTGTGGACGAATACACCACCTTTTGTGATACCGCTATTAAGCTGGGACCAGAGCAGAAGCCAAAACCAGAACCATACAATGCTACAAGTTTGTCAGGTCCTGTGTCTGGAAAGGCCATGTAACACATTCTTGTTCTGCTACCCAAGGGACTGCAAGCAAAAATTAGCATTATAGACAACATCACATTCTCTGTCACTGGTGATTCTGTATTTTTCTCTGATGTCTGTTTATCTTATTTCACTTTTGATGAAGTAGATGATTGTTCATAACAGCAATACCATGGTGGTTCCAGATCATTTCATCTCACTTTTTCTCTCTTCATTAAGTTCTCTGTTTAACACTACACAAAATAAAAACAAAATAAAGGGGGGTTTCAACAATTACTTCATGACATTTTGAATACTTCTCTTTTCATTGCTCTCTCTTTAATCAGTAGACTTGCAGCAACATTGTGATAGCAAGTCAGAAGCAATTTGATAGCAAACTCTGAACATGCTTAACTATTTGATGGTTTAAATCATGTTTTAAACTTTGTGCCAGTAGGGGAATATACAACACTCTAGAAGAATCTGACAGCAATAGCTTATTGTAGCCAGCGGAAATTTAATTCCTACATCCTTTGAAAGCAGAGCTTTTCTGGTACAGTTGCATCCATAATAACCTTTGTCATTACAGTGTGCTACTATTTCTTTACACATTTAAAGCATTTCTAGTGTAGACACAAGTTTAATATCTGCTCGTTTTTAGTAGATGGGATTTAATAAACCCTGCCAATACTCCTCTATAGGCAGCTAATGATTCAAGGAAATACAAATATTTGTGTTCTGTTTTTATTTCTAGGTTACCAGAATCAAAACACCAAAGCAGATAGATGAGCTCATAGAAATAGAGAGTGATACTGGAACTTGGTACAGGAGGTGTTTTGTAAGAATCCGCACAGAGCTGTATGGTGTAAGTATCAACATCTCTGTTCACTCTGTAATTACCTTTTTTTTGTTGATTAGCTTTCTGAAGTGGAAAGGATTCACTGAGCTCATGCTGTTGATACCTGCAATACAACTGATGCATTCAGGAACCAGTGTAAAGTTTTGGTTTCCTGACCCAGAAAAGATGCAGGTGAATCACAGAGGTTGGTCTCAGCTTCTGAAAATGAAAACGCTGCCTTGGTCCTTACACAAGTGATAGCTAATAATTACATAGTCATATGCACAAGCACCCCAAAATAAATATGTAGTGGGAATGCATATCAATATATACCTATGGAAATAGGTTACAAATGATGAGACGAAAAATTATTCAAGAAGAACTTGTGACAGCCACATTATTTACAAATGGTAAATTCATGAATAAATTTTGTAAATGTATGTCAATAAAACAAGAGAGCATTGTATCTGCATGAATTTTGTAGGCATGTCAAATGTTTTACCAGAAACTATGGTATCATATATATATATGTATCTAACATATCAAAACTATGTTAGAGATATTTCAGACTTTAATACAAACTTGTGGGACTGTGCTCCTTATACTTTTGTTACTTTTTTTGTAAAACCAAAATTACATTGTATCTTTGAATCTTATAATAAAAATTGAAAAATTAGCCTCATTGATTAATTTGAAAAAAAATCAAAACTGATTTTTCACAGCTGTTAAAAGTCTGACATCTTAAAGCTCTTCAGAACTACGATGACGTGTTGCAAACTAAGGTTTGTCACAAAATTATTTTGCTATGAAAAGTCACATTTTCCCCATGGAAAAAAAAAAATTGGGCAAGTTTTTATAGTTGTTGACCAAAAATGGAGTAGTTGGAGACTGAAATATTATGTGCTAAACCAGCTTTAAAGGAGTTGCAGCTTCATTGTCTCACATTCTTGTTGTCTCACTAGACTAGATCCTCAGTCAGAGAACTTTCCTTTTTGCATGAGGCGTGTTGGGACCTCTTAGAACAGTCTGTCTGTTCTCTTTTTTTAAAGGAGATCATCTTGAGATGAGAGAGAGAGAAATGAGAACACCATTCTCAGTCAGCTCTGCTACGGTGTCTCTGATTTGGGGGTAGTCCCACATTTTCCTCATATAGTTCAGGTGTCGATTTCTAGCCATGGTAGGTTATGATAGATCAAACTCTGGTTGTATCACTGTTGAATCATGGAACATATTTTGCCTAAATTTAAAGTACTGTAATACTGGGAAGTGAGAAGAAAACCTTTCTGAGAAGATAATTTTTTTATTTGAGATAGTGAAATGAAGCTGTCTAACTTTAAGAAAGTTTGAGTTGATCACAGCAGCGTGAATTAATGGGTGCAGTCCACACTGGTTACAGCAAAATTGATATGAGCCTGCAACATGTGCTTGCAGCTGAGACAGTGAATCATATCCTGGGCTGCATCAAAAAAAGTGTGGCCAAAGATCTGATCTGCTCTCTCTCATGCCCTAAAGAGGCAAGCAAATCAGGGAAAAAAAACTTCTATCATTTAAGAAAATTGTTCAAAAAAATATGTAAATAAATGTGTTTCCTAATGATTTGCAGATTTGGTTGACGTTTATGAGATGCTTCAACTACCCGGTGAAGGATAATACGATCAAACTTACGGCTGTATGGTTCACCCTGTCTTTTGGGTAAGAGTGTTGAGATTAAACCATTTTTTATACTCTTGACAGACAGAAGAGTCATCTGCATATAAATTTCTGTCACTATGATTATCTGTTTTATTCAGAATCTTTCCACAAAATGTTACATTTGTCAGTTAGTCTATTCTTGGTTGCAAGCCTGGCTCATAAGAAATATCTGCTTCAGAAAAACTGGAATCTTCTAGTGTGATTTCTGAAGGAGTGAGATTGGTGCCTGATGTTTTTCTGTTTTTCACAGCTACTATGGCTTATCTGTCTGGTTTCCTGATGTCATTAAACATCTGCAGTCGGATGAGTATGCATCCCGAGTGAAACATTTCCGCAATGAGGAGGTTTCACACTTTGTCTTCAACTTCACACTGGAAAATCAGATTCACAGCAATGGAGAATACATCAATGACAGGTTTAGAGATTTCCTTATATCCTGGCTTAACTGGAATAAACAGATACATATTTTAAATCACATCCTAATCACATTTTTTTTTCCCTTTAGGCTTTAGGTAATGATACAATGTTTTTGTTGGTTTTTTTGACAGTTTATTTCTGTTCTTGATTTCTTATGGTTCATGAGCATGGGGAGAAACAGACTTTTACATGGTTCCTGTGTGAGGATCCACCATGGAAACCCAGCTTCCTTGTCATGCTGAAAAACAGACCAAAAAGCCTAAGTCAATGGTGTTTCCTTTCACAGTGGGATTCAAAGGTTTTCAGATCCAACACATGCAACATATTGTAGAGGTTTGCGGAAGGATGTACTTTCATCTCTGTTGCTGGTTCTTTTTTTGTATTGATGAAAGACACTTCTGTGAAAATGCTGAACATTGAGAGGCTAGGATCTTATCACAGAAAAATGAAAGCTAAACATTACTGTAAACCAATAAAAAGCATGAACAGCTCCGAAATGGGAAACAACACTCTGGCAGTGCCTTTTGTGATTTTTTTAGCTGAAGCCAGATATATTAAGGCTTTATCTGGGCTTGACAGATAACTAGATAACTTGGGGGAAAATTAAACACAGCTGTTTTAGGTATCTGGTTTCTGTTAAGAAATATACAGAACAACCATGTGAATGGTCTCCTGGAAGTCATGGTGATAAGTAATTATTATTTCCATAGGAAAATCTATATCTAAGCGAATAAAATTAATGATTTTTTAATACTTTTTATTATTATAATTTTTTATAAGAACTTGAGTTTTGACAGAGTTAAAGGTTTATGCATTGCAGAAAAAAATAATAGTTATTTAATTGATCAATTTAAACAATATATTCTTGTAAAATGCTAAATTTAACATTAATCTATGCTAAATCACTAATTTACTCTTCCAAATGTGCAATTTTAATATGCTTCTGACAGTTATTTGAGATTCACAAAGCATTTTCCAAGAAGTATGAACTCATTTGATACCCTTCCTTCCCATATGTTTCAGTACTCTACTCACCCTCATTCTCAGCATTCTCTTCTTGTTCTTCCTTAACTAGAAAATCCATCAATACTTGACTTTTTACTACATTACATTCCTGTTGGGTTTTAATTAAAATCATAGCGACACAAATTTTAATGTAGTCACATGTTTCCTGTCCAAGGGTAAAAAGTGCATTAGAAGAACATGTAGTCTGTCATTTCTGTTCCAACTGACTAATCTAATCACTGATGTTTTTTGTTCTCCTCTGAAATTAGGCTACAAATTTGAATGGAAAGAGCTATATGAAAAATGATAATGAGTTGACACTGAACTCTAACCTAATTTTAATCAGTCTGTCAAAATGAGAAATGATATAGTAACTAAATCTAATGGACTGAAAACACCATTATTCTGACCAATGCAAAAAAGAAAATTCATTAGTTAATAAGTTGCTTACTGTAATAAACACTATTAGCTTTTCCCTCCTTTCTCATAAAGATGTGATTTCAACAACTTTATTTTGTTGAGTTTAATTCCCACTACTTTGTAGGTAGCATATATTTTTTTTGTTGCTTTTCCTACTATTACTCTTGTAATAATACAAATACTTAGGTAATCACACCAGGTCTAATTAGAGCAGAGACAGGTCTGTCTTGGGAAGACTTTGGGAAGACAGATCTTTCTACTGTATAACAATTAAAGCTCTACTTTCCAAACCGTTGCCACTTAGCGTGAAGTCTGCCACTAAAACTGCCCCTTTTCCACACCTTCATGTGAAATAAAAGACATCTCAAAAATAATGATGTACAACAACATCTTGTTTTTGTTGTTAGCATGATTTGTTTTTTACTAAAGAAGTCTTACAGCATTGTTTTAGTGTAATGACATATAGGTAGAAAGTTACAGTAATATATTTTGTGATTGATTTTTTCTATTAATATCTCAATTGATGGTCATAATCAAAGACCTATGTGTTAAATGAAAGTCAGTAGGAAGGAGGATATTCAGAAAAAAAGAAAGTCACCAACAAATCATTCACATCTGTTTTATGTGCATAGTAATTGTAATTGCATCCCCAGGCACAGGAGTAATGAAGACATACTTACAGTTAGATATCTAGTTGTATAACTGGCAATGTAATTTTTAATTCATGTTTTATTTTAACCATTTTGCAAAAACATTTTTTAAAATTTAGACCAGTATGTTTTGCATTTGAGCTTAACATGGTAACCAGTGTGTTCATCTGGAGAAATAAACATTTTCTGAAAAATTCTTTATTTTCAGCTTGTTGGTATTAGCAGGTGCTTGTTTATTCCAAGGGACTGAGTTTCTGAAGCATCTCCTAATTTCCAACTGTAATGTCAAATTAAAAGCAATAATGATTTTACAAGGCTGTTCCATGAACGTCATGACATCAGTTTCTGTTGATGATTAGGGACAAGTAAGAATAGAAATACTATCAAAGAAATTATATTACCAGTTAGGGCCAGTAACTATGTAGAACAATTTGTCTTACTAATTCTTTTTCTAAACAATAGTATTCTAGAATGAGCTAATCATTAATAACATCTGCAAAATGCATCTAAGGAATCGTTTTTACTGGGGTTGAGATTTTTTAGAACTAAATAGCTGCATCACCTTGATCTGTTGCTCCTTCTAAACCATGAAGGTAGACTGACAAGAATTATTTGTATTGGGCAGGTTTATTATGATGAAGTTTAAATCGGTAACATTTGAAGATTCACTTTTTAAGAACTGTGTGTTTGAAGACATTACTTCACTGAACACATACTTCAGGAACTGTACTTTTGTGAATACCACCTTCTACAACACAGGTATTATGAGAAAAATCCCTGAATGCCCATTGCTCAGCTGCATGTTCTTTTCTTACATTTATAATTTCTGGATTTCTAAGAAGGCATACAAGTCCTCTTGTAGGGAATAAAAATCTATAAAAAACAACAGACCTTCATAGTGTTATGACAGAGAAGTTAAAGGATCACACTGCAAAAGAGATACCACAGACCTAATATTAACTCACATAATAAACATCTCTTTGATTTCAACCATCTCTAAAGAGATTCAGTCTGGAGAGAAAAAAGCATATTTACTGCTTTACTGGTAGCTGGTAGGACTGGTGAAATACTTTGTTTATTGTGCTTCCTGTGGCAGTGGAGTCTGAGCTCAGGATTCAGACTCCCTAATCTATAATTATTCCTACTCTCCTAAGTGTTGTAAATGTGAATCCGTATCTTCGTATGTGGAAACAGAAGACTCTTTTTTCCAGTTAAATAAAATATAACTGAAAGAGAATAGGGCCAACTAAGCTTGCTGGAAACATGGGGCACTTCTTGCTGCTTTCCTGATTCTACAGCAACCATAATAATTATAATAATACAGTTAGGTTTCAGAGCAAACAATGCCCAGATTTCTTTGTGTGGAAGGAAGGTATCCTTAATTGAGGTTTATAAGGCTAACAGGAGGAACAAAAATTGGAAGTATAGAGAGAGATCTCTGAAATGGTATTGGCAGAAGATTGCCCTACATATAGTAACTCATCTATGGGCAAACTTAAAATCATTAGGCCTTCTCAGAAATGAAAATCAGTTTGAACTAAATTCTGTAGGAGTATTTTGCTTAAAGGAAGTCAAACCATACTGAGCACAATCGGCAGTCTCATCTAAAAGGTTATTTGATGTGGAAAGAGAAGGTCTGATACTGAGCAAGACTGACTCATAGAAATTTGCAGATACCAGTGCTTTTTATGCAAGACCAGCTGGTGCTGAAAGACCTTAACGAAATACAGTCCAAACAGGGCAAAAATACAATATAACCCCCTAATTCCAGGCTTTAGTTACTCTTTTCCATGAGCTTTGCAAATCTTTCTAGTAAGACTAAAAGCTATCAAAATTAACAGCAGTAACTAGTCCCCTTTTACATAGCAGTAAAAGCTCCAAGCTGTCATTAAAGTTGATTGAACTCGAAATGTTTTTAATCAAAAGCTGCACATGGAATTGGCTGCTAGCTGAAATGTTTCTTTTTCTTCTTTCCACAGATCTGGAGCAGTATAAATTTGTTGACAGTGAATTGATAAATTGCACATTTTTTCACATCAGGACAGGATGCCAGATTTCTTTTGATGATGACTACAGTGCCTACTGGATCTACTTTGTTAATTTCCTGGGAACTTTGGCAGTGTTACCAGGGAATATTGTGTCTGCTCTCCTGATGGATAGAATAGGACGGTTAACGATGCTAGGTAGGGGCTTCACTTTGAAACAGGGAAGAAGACCAAAATAACCTGTTCTCTTTTCAGGGAATTTGGCTCAGAGAAATGTAAAACATTCCTTCTGCAGATATTTCATTTATGTGGCATCATAACTGCTGTTTTTAAAAACCTTCTAGTGTTTCTAAACTAGAAAAAAAGGGTTCTGTGTCCATCTCTGCTATGTCACATTATCAGTCATTGTATTACTTAGAATGGTCTCATTTAGAATGAGATTTTGGAGAGTGATGACCATTGGGTTTATCTTTGCTCCAACTGAAAGGAAAGCAAGGTGTGCATATGTGACAGTCAGCTAGTGGAGCATATCCTTGGAAGTGTCAGGAGTTCTTTGTTATCTATTTTGCAAAGGAACACAGTTGAAAGATATCTCCAGCGGATTGTCTGCAATGAGAAATCTGTTTTCAATTTACTTAAATAACTATGTGATAGTTTATTGTCTTCACTTTCCAAGAGACTATCTCTATATAAATACAATTCCCAGTCAATGTTTTTACTGCTATAATTTATGAACAAGCTTCATGTAATTGCAAAGATGATGAACGAAGAAGAATGGGGACCTTCCCCAAGCAGCTTGCTTTGGGAGTTCATAGAGGGTTCCAGCTTAATGCTTTATGACATATCCTAATTTTTGAGGAGATATGTTTTGTTTTATGAGCTCATTCAGCATTTGTCTTCCTGACTGGTCTTACCAGCAGAGAAAGTCTCTTTAGTTTTTAACTCAAATGTTTGCATCACTTATTTAGCTACACTGTGTGTATAGAAACATTAGACAACACAAAGATTATTCTTTAAAAATATTCTTTAAAAATATCTCCACTTGTCTCACCTGCCTTGTACCTAGGTGGTTCCATGGTCCTTTCTGGCATCAGCTGTTTTTTCCTGTGGTTTGGGACCAGTGAATCCATGATGATAGGTATGCTGTGCCTCTACAACGGCCTCACCATCTCAGCGTGGAACTCTCTAGATGTCATTACTGTGGAGCTGTATCCTACAGACAGAAGGTATGTGCAGATACATATCCCCTAATCTCACTGACACTATCTCTATGTACCAGCAGAAATGGGAAATAGAAATGATTACATATGAGCTTTACTCATGATGTTTTGGGTGGACCAAATAAATAATTTTTCTTATGAAAAACAAGTGGGGAAAATGACATTTTTTGAGCTGTTTGGTATGTATTTTGCATCAAATATCACCTAATCAGAAAAATACCACAAATGTAGTTTTACATGAAAAAAGAAGGTCTAACTGCTACTCTCACTCAAAACAAAGCTAATGAGTAGTATTTCTGAAAAAGATAATGGAGTATTTCTGGGCTTCCCCTAGTTCAACTGGCTATGAAGGCAGTAATTGGTCCAAACCAGCAATATAACTGCATTTGTCTGTTGACTCTGAAATGGTGTGACTCATAAATAAAAATCACTGACTAAACCATCCTAATCTGCTAATCAGTCTGCTATGAATTTGTATGCAGGGCTGCTAGAAGTGTACATACTCAGCATTAAGTGGGCACAAAATTGTCTTGGACACTGCTTTTGACTCTTCAGGGCTTTCGGAGGAAGTTTCAGGACAATGTTCATGTCCTGAAAGCATTGCTGCTAGATGACATGGGTTGTTTGTTTTTTTTTTTCAGATACAGGGTACTTTTTAATCTTGATTTTATGTCATTTAATGGACCAAAGGAAGAAGTGTTGAGTCATATTCTGTTGTATGAGAATATAAAAATGTAAAAGCTGCATTATCTTGAATAGACTGGGATATTTCTCCTCTCTCAACTCCCTTGAAAAAAATCAATGGAAAATTGCCCAGATTCCTGTCAAGGGACAGTCTGTCCTTTCTCCTGTTGCAGTGCTGCTTGTTATGTCATTTATTGGAAGTTTCCAATGCAGTGAAAAATACTTCTATTTTATAAATGTATGATGCCTTGCTGGCAAGTGTAAATTTTTGGAAAGAGGTACAACTGGCTTTAGTATTGTCTGTCAGGAGAGGAAAAGTGTAGACTGGCTTCTCTGTTTTCTTTTCATTGGCATTTTAAAAATACATACTTCTTCAAATAAGAAATTGATGTCCAAAGTTGTGATTATGTCAAATAGCAATTATGTGCTACTGATGAATTCCAAGCACTAAGTTTTAGTATTAAGTGCTAATTTTTATTACACCTCAGAAAATTTTTCTTCTAGTAAGATTTATTTCATCATCCAAAATCTATGACATAATTCCACTAAATATCCTATAGAAATAGCTGTCTTTTTGGTATTCCTGAATGTAGCGTCCACATATATTTTCTTAAAATGAAATCAAGAAAAATAATTGGAAAAGCTACTGGTGTTAATGGAAGGAAGAAATTCATCATTACTAGGAATGATAAAAAGAGTGTAATTGATATCTATCTCTCTATATATATCTGTACAGATGTTAAGGCATCTGTATTGGTAGCTAGTGCTTGTTTTTAATAGTTTCTGCTAGCTTTGGGATTGTAGCAAGTTCTTACTCATTTTTTGCATTTTAAAAGCCTTGTGTATCCAGAAATAACTGCCTGGAATTCCCCCTCAGAAACTTACTTAAAGCTAAGTTGTTGAGTCTTTTTGGCAACAAGTCAGAGAGAAAACTTGTCTCCTTGTATTATCAATATGAAAAGGCCAATAGGCCAAATCTACCTGTGCCAGGAAAGACCTTGTTGACATGTACTGTAGGTTTGACTTTTTTCCAAAATTTCTGAAAGTGATGGAACCATGACTACAAGTTTTTGCCAGCTGGGTTATAAGTAAACAACCAGTTCTAGATGGATTTTTTTAGACTGGAACAAAGCTACTTCAGGTTTTGTACAACAATTTGAAAATCAATGCCTTCAGGGACTCAAATAACTTGCTTGCTAGAATTTTTTCTCTGGTACTTTTTTATCCAGACCAGCACTGCCCACCTCGGGTGGTCCTGTCCTTCCTTCTCAGACTCCTCTAATCTCCACAGCTGGGCAAAGCTTACCAGAGTTTGATGGGAATTTCCAGCTTCTGCAAGTAACTATAGGGCTCAACAGCCTTTCCAGACATATATAATGCACAAAGCTGCCTGATCTGTTTTTGCGTATGAAGTCCTTCATACTTAAGATCATGTCCTCTTTCACTACAAAGCCACATTCAGACTGAATCTGGTCTCGAAACTAGCTTTCAGTTTCCCCTGTAAAAGCAATTTAGGCACAAAATCTTTGCTCACTCTCCCACTGTTTTACATTTTTTTCTTACTCCCAGTTAGTGAAATGACCACAAACAAGCAGCAAAGGGCAGCTGGAGTTTGGGCTGGAAGCAAAGTGAGTGGAAAGAGGCCAGTTCAGGCTACTGTGCAGAAGAGACCAGGCTGGGTAGCCCCTTCTTTTCCTCCCGAGTGACTCATCTTGGATACCAGCCAGTTGCTGAATTGCTGGGTCTTTGCTGGTGTTGTGCAGTGTAATACAAGAGGTGTTTCATAAATCGTACTCTAGGTTATTTAGGGATCATACTGGATTTTTGCCAGGTATAAGTGTGGTGAGTACTTTGACAATGTATAGTCTATGTGATACAGGGCACATATTTTAGTTTCTTCCTCATTAACTGCCTGCAAGCAGAGTTAAGTTAGCTTCAAAATCTTAACAGGTTGGGTCTCTGTATGAATTCACACTCATCTTCATATTTATATTTTAGATCACTAATGCGTGGAATTGAAGTAATCACGTAGTGTGTTCTACTTTCTTGATGAGTAGTTTCATATTTCATGCCAGTATAGCTTAGTTTGTCCCTTCGTGTCCTTCGTAAAATCTTGATTGGTTTGTACAAGTGCTAACATAAGAGATGTTAGAGGCTATATAGATTTCAGATGGTTGTTGGGTAGATGACAAAGTTGTTATAAAATGGGAAATTATGTTACTAATGCTAGTCAGAGGTAGGTTTCTGTCTTCCAGGTGGCACACATGGAACAATGAATAATGACTGACAATATAATACTATTTTTTAAACCTTTCAGTGCACAATTTTTAAAGAATACTCATGATGACTAAGTATAAACTAGCTGATTTCCAATAAGAAAGTAAATTAACCCAGCTCGACAAGGTAAAAGCTTGTATTTTGTCTCATCTTTTGTCTTGTCTTTTACCTTATCTTCTTTAAGGGCTCTGCTGTTCTGGACTAGTTAGCAGGTTCTGAAGTCTTTGGTCAGTCATAAAGGCCTCTTAAAAGCCAAACCAAACTATTCTGTAGACTTGGAAGCACTGCTCTGAAGCAGCAGTGTTCACAATATCTTGTGAACATTTTTGGGTGCTCCCAAAATGCTTTCCTAATTTTTTTTTATAAACTTCCCATATTTTCCAAATACTGTTTTGAAAGCAGATGATGTAGAAATTGAGGCATAAAGGAAAATGTTATTGTTAAAAGTGGCTTTAGTATTGTGCATAAGGCGAGAGGAAAACTATAGATTGGGGTGTGTGGTACGAACAATTCCAGTCACTGAGCGTTTTAGAAGAAGGAATGGGTGAAAGTCTAACTTCCACTACAGGATACAAGTGCCTAGCACTTTGGTGGCATAAACCTGAAGGTGCTAAGCTGAGCACCCAGAAAATGTAAAATACATGCTTATGACAATTTAGTTAGCTTTAAGTGACTTGCATCATATGTGAATTCTGTGGCAGGAGTAGGGATTTTATCCTTTCTCCTGACAGCACTCAATTACCTTAACCATGAAACTGCTTTCTCATGTTGCAGTCCCCAGCCTTATTCAGAGAGCACCTTCCAACTTCTGCAGCAGATGAGGAAAACCAAATTTCCTTTACTACCTTTATATTTTACCCTCAAGCTCTCTTTGTTCTCTGCATTGGCAGAGTGATGTGGAAAAAAATATTGTGTGATGAAGTAATTAGGGCTTGCGTTGTAATGTGTCTGCCCAAGGGGCCTGCAATAACATTGCACAGTTTCCTAGTTCTACCTGTAATATAAATATGAATGGAAGAGAGTTAAAGTTCTCAGAAGAAGGAACATTAGGATATTTTTATGACTTCAAAATGCAATTGTTGCTTTCACATAAATGATGCGTATCTTCTTGTGAACTAACTTGGGAAACACCAACTGTATAAACCAGGATTCTCATTAGGGAGTTCATACAACAAATAACCAAAACCTAAATAGAAAGTGGAATAGTAATAGATCATCTCCCACAGAGTAAATCAAGGTCAGATTGCATCAGATAACCATCAATTCATCATTTTACTACAGCTGCCAGACATCTGGGTTTGAATCTTGTCCAGGAACATTTAGAAGTCAAGGTGTGCTATAAAATGAAGTCATCCTGTTTTGCCTTTTTTTACTACCTCTGAGAAAAGTTTATAAGTGTTTGTTATAATTAAGAAATAAGTCTCCTCTCTTCAGTTCATTATATTTAATTTTTTCACTTCTTCTTGATACCTGAGGATCTATTCCCAGAATAATAAATATTATTCACAGGGTCCAATTTTGTATTGTTGTGGCTGTCAGAAGAGTCATAACAGCAGTCATCAACTTACAGTAGATTTCCTGACAGCTATTTTCTACTGCCATCCTGTGGATGTAGTTCAACTGCATTTTGCTGAAATTTCATGATAATGTTTTTAAGGCATGGCATGCCAAAACTACACAATGCTTCAGGCAGTAGTCCAAGGCGGGAGGGCAAATTCCACAGTATTACTTGTACACTAACCACTATAAGCTACGATAAACATTTTTGTACTCTTTTTTTAAAAGAATATGAAATATCTGGAAATATATAGAAACTTGTCCATAGAACATTCTGAAGCTCTTTTTAATACTTTACATATTATCAACTCTAACAAAAGTGATATTCAAATGTTTTCTTGGAACTTGTTGGATAGGCTCAGCATTAGCTCTGGCAAGAAAGTTAATGGATATGTTTGCTACACATTCAGTAGCACCCTACTGCAGGACAGTGAAGTTTTTGGTGCTCTGTCAGCAATGGAAAAGCGGATCTGAACTGTTTTATGTAGAAATATAAGCACCTGGTCTAAGAAGCATATGTGGCAATCAGGAAACAAGCTCTTTTAATCTAAAGTCTTGGATAATCCCTCTATTTTTAACCGTTTGGACTCTTGCTGTTTTTGTGTGGGGCTTGGGTGAAAGGAAGCTAAGCATTTTTCTTTGTCACAGCTTTCTCAGTGGCAAAAGTAAAATACACTGGGGAAAATTCCTTTTCAGTAACATTCAGCTTTCTTTCAGCTCTGACGTTTTTATAAAAGACTTCTACATTTTTCTCCTACCAGTACTAAAATCTGTACCTGTTTTGTTTTGTTTTTTAAGACAATCTCAAATTGATTCACTAGCACTTATCTTATTTATGTTCCTGAAGGGTTTAAGGGCATTCTCTTGCTGGACAAGGGATTCTTGCCATGGATCTCCCTTGAATAGTAATAATGACTACTCATGGAGTCAAAATGACTTTTTTGTGTAAGTGTTTGCCCAGTAACTGATCAACAGAAAGAAAATTGGTGTATATACGAATAGCCCTATGCTCTTGGAATTTTTCATTTAATTGGTCCATGATGCTGAGATGACACATCACGTATCTTTGATCATTTGCAGACACTCTAACACTTTCATGAAACATTGTAGCGGAGACTGTACTAATGCTGCAAGAGGCGACTATGTCCATACATGTGTGTGATATTACAGCATGTTTATTTTCTGGCTATTTTTACTCCACTGGATTGAGTAGAACAATTATAGAGGCATAAATTAATAAAGATTCTAACCAATTTGAATCATGAATACTGTTCTAAGAAAGATGTTTAAACAACCAAGGAGCTTGAATTTGCTATCCCTAGAACTCAACAATTGCTTGAACACTTTGTTCTGACTACAAGTACACAACAAGTTCACATTCAAACACAGTATTAAAATTGAAGGGTATGAAGGTTGAACAGTGATAGTGCTTTTCAGGTACAGGTCGTAACAACTTTTATTTAAGCCTGTAAAAATCTTATTGTTCATGCCAACAATGTGCTTATTTTAGGCAAAAGGACATGCCTGAAATATGCCTAAAGATTAAAATATTGAACTTCTGCTGGTTTCATTTTGTATCATCAGGACAACCAAGGGCAATAAAAATGGGCTTATTTTGACTTACTTATATTTGTTTATAGTTTGATAGCACTAATGGGGCTAGGCTGATAATGACCTCTTCCAACTGGCAAAATTCTAAAAGTCCATTTTACAAACAGAAGTGTTTTTTCAGTTCCAAAAAATTACCTTAATTTTGCTCAGACACAAGAGGTATTGAGCAAATATTACACAAAGTTACTTTAAGCTTTAATAAGGTAATCTTGGGTATATAATCCATAATAGATCTAAAGCACAGGGACATCTGTAGAGCCCAGCACATGAAAAAATATGGTTCAAATTGCTCAGAAAATTATATTCAGACCCCTGTTATAACTAGTTGCTATAAGCAGCTAACATCTGTGAAACAGCTTACCTTTGTAAGGTAGTATAAAAACCCACTAAATATAAGTAAAGCATCCCCATATGTTTTGTGCTATTGCTTTTCCAAAGATTTCCTGCCTGTATCTCTCCAAATTTGCTTTAGCTGGATCTATATATTCTTTGGGGAGTTCTGGTATCTCTCTGAATATACTGAGGCTGCTGACAACCAGGTGTCTAATTTCTCTATGTGATCACGGTTAGGGTTTTTTTTCCTGTTACCATTATTTGGGGGCAAGTTTGATTTTACATCAGCACTGGCAACTGAAGAAGTCATATTTACATGTGTAGACACAAATCACAACCAGTCACCACCATAAGTTTTGAAATACTTTCTGTGCATAAATGAGTCTGAAATTAGAACCATTCTGACTCTTCTCTTTTTCTTTCCCTGGCCTGTCTTCAGAATAGCTGCAATCTGTTGGTATCCTATCACATGAACTCGGTTTTCTAGTCCAGTTGTGTTCTCTTTAACCTCTTTCTACGTGATACAGTCTATTTTAACACAGTCTTTCCTCTTAGTGATCCTCCTTCCCACCTGCATGCTCTGTGCAGCCCTTCAGAAGGACCTCAACAGGTTGGAGAGATGGGCAGAAGAACAGGCTGAAATTCAACAGAGCCAAATGTAGGGTCCCACATCTGGGAAGAATAACCTCCTGCACCACTACAGGTGCAACCTGCTGGACTAGGATGACCCTGCATAAGCAGGGAAGTTGAACCAGATGATCAGTTTCAACCTTATTTAGTCTGTGATATGTGAGCCCTAGAAGATGTGTCAGTCTGGAGTTCCTTCCCCCTTGGTAGCTACCCACCATCCTGCATCAGCTTCCTCCAGATATTCTGGGCTTTATCTACCTTTGCAATGCAAATGTTTCTGCACCAGAGTTTTGATTGTCTCCTCATAGGCTTTGGAAGATTATTCCAGTAGGGTGGCTCTTCGTTGCTTCCTTCAATGTATCTCACGCTCCTCCTTCAGACCAATTCCTCAAAGGGTGTGCATAAAATGGGCAAGTTTTAACTTGCTCATTCCTCCTCTGAGGAAGATATTTGCAAAAAGGTGCTGCAAATGTTTCTCTGTCAGAAATCTTCACAAGCAACACTTCCAAAATTTCGTCATCTGCTGCTCTCTCTGGCAGCCCTCAGGGGTCTGGGCTGTTGTGGGGCAGAACGTGTCATTTTCAAAATTATTATCCACAAGATGTACATGTTTAGCTTTCATTAGTACTAGGTATTCTGTAAAAGTACTGCAAGTTCAATCAAATTGAAAAGTGAGGGCTTTGAACATTCAGGAGGCATATCTGAGTCTCTTCTGTTTGGTTTTTTTCCGATGTTTTCTGAGTTGTTTCTGCTCTGCCATTGCAATGACCCATCTCTTCCTCCTTAGATATCATCAGTACTTATTGTCACGCAACATCTGGATGGATGCCATTGTTACACAATGAGGAATGGTGCTTATTTCAGAAAAATTTGTAATTTCTTTGCTAAATATGAGGTATTTTAGAGAGATTAAAATAGTGATGTGGATTGCAAGAAACATATTGCCAAACTAATAATAAATATGTTAGGATTATAATCACTCAGTAAAAAATAGTAACTTGTGTTTTGTCTCAGATTCAGAAAAGGCATATGATACACAGAGCTTACACTGGAACATCTGATTTTACAGAAGGTTTTAGGCAAGTGGGGTGACTTTGGTCTGCGACATACTGGAAAAAAAACCATTTTGAAGGTGTGTTAATTAGTCTGTTCCATGTCTTAATTCTGTTCTGCAGACATCCTTATAACTGATTTAAGAATTTAACAATAGAAGTACCATAATTGCAGATTTGACCCAGTGGGTTAACTAAAGCTATGTTTCTTAGAACAAACTAGAGTGATTTAGAAATATACCAGAAGGATCTAGACCTACCCACATCATTCTTTTGATGCAGGGTCCTCAAATGTACCAGGACTGATGTTATTCTGAAGCACAGTATTCCAGACAGGGCATGGTTAGCTCTGAAAACCCCTCTACCCCGGTCAACTGTACTAGAGAGAAGCTTTTACCTCTCTCCTATTATTTGGCTTGGAAGTAGGACACCAAAGGGCCTAACCGATCGACACTATTGAGATCCAGATTTGCCAAAGAGCAGAGGAGATGAACTCTGACACTCTGGGCTGTGGCCATGGCCATGAGTTTATTGAGACAGAGGATCTCTTCTCCCTTCTTATCATGGTTTTCTGTTTTCAAAATCAAAAAACAGTTCTGTGAAGAGCACTGAGAGATAATGTCCTTGCTCTCAGCTGGGATCAAGTCTGCTTACTTCAAGTTGATTCTCTGGGCTGCTCTTTAGGAGCTCCAGTAGAAATTTTTCAAGCTTCCTAGAAATTCAGTGTACCTCTGAGCATAAGACTTCTTCCCTCCCCTCACATGTACCTCAGTAGAATCTTTTTAGTCAGTCAGACCACTACCATTTCTGTTAATACCTTCAGTTTAGACTAGGGCCTTTTAATCACAGTACAAGAAAGAATAATTTTTTTCTGAAAATTAAAACATCTGTCTTCCTGATTTTTATTATTTTTTTCCACAGCAAACACAGTGTGAGCTCTACACAGTCCTTCTCTCTTTCATTTCTAAGAGGTTTGAGAAGTGTTAGAGATTCTACCATCATACAGGTATTTTTGTTAGGACACTTTTGGAAGAGGAATCTATGAATCATATGGTCATGTCAAAACACAATTTATGAAAATGATAGCAATTTGCACAATACACCTGTGCATGGGCCACCAAACAATTAGAACACTTTATTTCATACTACTATAATCACACCACTGCAATGCAAGAGCCCACCTGAATTGCTTGTGTCATACTTTGTGTTGGCAATCTGTTTCCTTTCCCTTTCCTCAAAGTTTCTCAGATACCTCTTTTGCAGCAAACAGGTTTTTATATGCCCTATCTTCTTTACCTCTAAGAGGTAAACATCCATTGTTATTGGAGGTCTCATTAGTCTTTTGAAAAAGCATTGATTTAACATGTGTACCGCCTGTAAGAAATTCATTTTTGTTTTTTATTTTTTATTAAAGGTGATCATCCTTTAATTCTGATGACTTCTTTCCCAGATCCCCAAGCAGTTCTCTTTTGAGAGCTGCTTGACGCATCCATTCTCTCCTAATCCAACCTTTTAACTCTTACTGAATCCATTTGCAAGTCCCATGTTCTACTCTAGAGCTGCAAACTCGCCCATTCTGTCATTAGTTTCACATTTTGGTCCCTGAGGCAGCAAAATGAGTTTGCCTCAACCAAGTACTGTAGTAGCTGAGCTTTGATTTCACATTATAAATACAAGCACAGAATCATTGTTGGCATAGACTGTGTGTGAGATATTGGGGCTGTACTGATTTATTCCCACTGAGGATTTGTCTCAAAAGCTTTACTCTTTCACCCATTTCTAAAATTTTCTTCTGTTTTCTCTTCTAGGGCAACAGGCTTTGGCTTTCTGAATGCACTATGCAAAGCTGCAGCTGTACTTGGAAACCTAATATTTGGTTCCCTTGTTGGTATCACCAAAGCAATCCCTATTCTTCTTGCTTCTACTGTTCTGGTATGTGGAGGTCTGGTAGGACTTCGGCTTCCTGATACAAGAACACAGGTGTTGATGTAAACGGGAAAAATGGGAAAAACATTTACTATTTATTTCCTTCTTTGTACAAATGTCAACTCTCCTGACCAATGGTGCAAAGGCTTCAGATTCTCAACATAGAGTACAGTGCTCAAATGTCAGATATCAAACTCGAAAGATACTTTGGAATAGCAGAGATTTAGAAACCTCTGTATGAAAATTTAAATTTCACTTTTGTTTGCTTGCATACATTAATGTTCAAAACCATTTAACTTCAAACTGTAAAGCTACCTCTTAAAACAGTTTTGGTGACATATCCATGAAGGTAAAAAATATACTGATTACCAGATATTTAAAATGAAAGCAGTCACATTGTTTAAAAATCACATGCTAAATTTGGCCATGGCATTGTGAGCTTTTGTAATATACAGATGTGCAGTATTGGTGCAGAGAATGTTAATGTATCAATGCATGCAGCATTTATCAGGAAACTCTACAGATTGCATCAGTACTGAGAACACTGATCTTCTGCAGCTGTGCTTAGGTGGTAAAAACTTGTGGCAACAATTCTTGGTAAACATTTTTAGGCAGTTTCAATCTAAAGTAAAAATTACCAACTACACCGCATGTTGGCTGAGGAGAAGGCAACAACTACTACAGGGAATTTAAAAGTCCATATGGGTATGCAGTAAAGAGAATAACAGAATGAACATTTTCACTCTTCACTGCTGATCTTCACTTGCTTTATTCTCACTTGTGGCATGTGGAATATTTTTTCCATTTTAAAACTGTGAATTAATGGAAATATTTTTGTTGTTTGAAGTGTGAATAAAGGAAGAATCAGGCAAGTGAACTATATGGTAAGTAAGATACTTTTAGAGGTTTGTTTGATATTTATATATATAAACAACTTCATATTTTCATAGTTTATACACTTCTTTATATAATAATTTTCTCAGCTAATTTTAAATAGTTCTAGAGATGTCTCACCATTTAATACTTTCCAGTGTCTCTCTGAAAGGCCATTAAGAAAGAAGCCATGACAAGGCTGCAGAGAGTGGTAATGTTTTTATTAGACCAAGAGCATGGATGGAGTGTAAATGGCAGTAAATCTGTTCCTTCTATGCTGTGGACTGTTATGGATTACAGTAAAGTTCCCCATCAGTCTTAATGCTATGTAAAAGGTTATGGAATCTGTTTAAAATGTTAGCATTAAAATTTAATACATATACACTGATATAAAGTTATCAAAGAGGCAGATCTTCTGATGACAGAAACTGAACTTGCTTTCAGTAGAGCTAAGATAACTTGTAGTAGCTGATTAACTAGCTGCAGTTTCAAGTGTCAAATAACAAATTTTCTATAAAACATACAGAAAAAAATTATCAATATTTTTTTTCTTACTATGTTTGACAACAATTATTAGGTATATGAATTGTTGCCAAAGAAATTGGCTTTCAGATAATGTCATTGTGTCATAAGAAAGATTTTTTTTCATTAATTTTTCCTTTGCTATTACTTGTGAACTAAGATTTGGATACTAGTATCTATCACTGCATTCTGTATCAGTCATTGTTTTTGTTATATTAAAAGACTCAGTAAAAGACTACATAAGAAGATCGCTCAATACATTTAAAATTCACTATTTAATCTACTGATTTTAGAAGTGACATTTCCAGTTACTAACAAATGCCTGTGTTACATATTGTAGTACAAAATTGTTAGCCCAAGATGTGGTTTTCTGCTATTAAATTATAAAAGTGTCAGAATTAAAAAAGCATGAGTATGAAAAACTAGGGGGCATTATTTTGATGGTGATAATTTAAATATGTTACAGTAGGAAAAAAAATTAGAAATTGTATTTATTTTGGAATATTAACAGTCAAGATATCTGAGATGAAATATTTTATGTTTAAATCTGATTTAAACACGTGTTTTAAATTTCTAGACTATGCTAATAAAGGAGGAAGATTAATTTTTTACTAAATTCTAGGATAAGAACAAAATCCTGGCCTCATTTTCGTGTCTACAGCTTTTGTCCACTAGTCATAGCCTTAATATTATTTCAAGGCTGTTTTCTGCAATGAGTATTGTATTTGAGCCCTATTTCTCTGTGCCATTCATTAGTAGCATGTGTTCACATCCTTGTACTTACTGCATAAGTTATTTTGAAATCTGAAGCCTCTGTACTTATTTGGAGTAAACATTAAAAGCAATGGTAAAATACTGCATTATGTTTCTATGCACTGTCCTCTTGCAGTAGTATATTCTGCCCATCTCTGCGTGTGATTCCCAAAAACATTCAGATACGCTTCATACCACCTGACCAGCTTGGAGGAAATGTGCCATAGGAAAATAAGATTCAGCTTTTGAGGGCTGTGGTTCAAATTTAACACTCTAAAATTTCATTACATGTAAAACTATGTCGATTTCAACGCTAGTTCTTATTCTAAATCCTGACAATGTCATGAGTATGTGATTAAGTCTGGATGAAATGTAATATAGCAATAACAGAATTAGTAAATGTTAAAAAATTCAGGATTATGGAGACCTTCTATAGTCCAGAATTAAGTGAATATTCTAAGGTAGGGGGGAAAAAAAGAATAATAATGGGTAGGAATTGGGAGAAAAAGTAAATGGAAGAGATGAACAAAGAAAAAAATCCACCGACATTTCCGACATACGAAGCAAAACCTAAAGTTAGAATTTCCCTAGGTGATGAGGTAATTGGGTCAACACATTTGAACTAGTATGCAAGCCAGCATCAAAGTTGTTTGAACAATCAATAGTTTTTTTGCTTGAGTGCAGTAAAGATTCATCTCACAAAGACAAAAGAAGTGACTGCAACTTCATGCTACAAATAACTTGGTGAGATAGGTGCAATCCACAGACTTGATCAGAAATCCTTAATTTATGGAGATCTGGACACAAATAGTACTCACATTATAAACAAAAGTAATTTAACCAATCTTTAGTGAATCTGTCTTTTTTTGCAGCCTCACAAGGAATCTCAGGTAATAAATACTGGATGGTAGGAATGGCACTTCCTTTCTATGTCTATTCACTTATATCTGAAACAAAGAATCACTTAGTGGCCTGTTTATATCCCTTGTACACCAGAGAAAATCAAACTTGATAGCATTTGTACATTACAGATATAAAACAAATGTAATCAAAACTACTTATTTATCTGCTAACTGGAAATTCCTGTCAGTCTAAATTAAAGTAGGATATAGAATCTAGTGTTATCCTATACAGCTGAAAACTCATCCCAACAGCAGCAATGACAAAAAGTACAATGGCCCCTGAAAACAGAGAAGACTGACAGTATTTAGAATGCTATTAACTATGACAATCAACTATTTTGAAATTTGAAAACTGCCCATGAAAGAGACCACGTTTTCATTTTTGGCAAAGAAATTCTGTTTGAATTAGTTTTACTCCTTACACTCCTGTTGTGTAACAGTAGAGTTTGACTTAGCGAACTCTTATTTCTTGAAAGCATCTTATCCATTATGTTTGTACGTTTTAACCAGATTGGCAATATCTATGTTAGCACCTTGTTACTTAGAAGCATGTGCTACAACATTTGGTGTGCATTGCATTGACTGCTGAGTGCAAGCTTCTAGCAAGGGAACCAAGAGTAGGTGTAAATGGTGGAGTGCTGAAGAGGATCGATAATGAATGATGTATTGGAAAACCTTCCTCCCTATGCATGATTTTAAGCAGTCCCCTTACAGAGTTGTGTACAACACGGCTTGGACACTGGTGAAAAAGGGTTAGCCTTCCTACCTGATGGCTCCTGTAGTCTACTCCTCCTTTATCATCTTGGGAAAGAGAGGCAAAGTTAAGATTGCTAGCTCAAGCTCTGCTCACTTTTCTCTTCATGCCATTCCATTTTTTCCATCCCAAATTACTTTTCTTACTAGACAACCAATCTTAATGAAAATCAAAACTCCTTCTGTTCTCACCAGCTTCTGACTTCCTAGTAACATTTGGTAAGAAGTTTTGCCACATATCTTTTGCAATTTGGCCATATCTTTTTAAAACAATATGGAAAGCAACCACAGAAGTCCTTCTGTGAATACTATCCTTTTGAGGCAGACAGATTCCACGTTTCCCTGCATATCCAGAAGGCTGACCTAATACAAGGAGAGGTATCCTCTCAGAATGGCCCCTGTTGGGGTCCTGCTGTGGGTACAGATATGGGGGAATCTTATTGTCTGTGCACCTAGCTCAGCCCCATTTGGAGGAAATAATATTCTGTATCCTTTTTTTCTTTTCCTACCACTATGGAGCCTTGTCTTCATCTGACTACTCCTGAGACACAACTGCTGATTCCAATTCTCAGCAATGTAATATAGTCCTCAGCCCCTCATATGGACAGCCTCTGTGTGCTGGGCTTTAACTCTCTTCCCCATTGTGTGTGTTAAATTAATCCTTATTAGTCAGAGAAAGATGTTTACATCCAGTCACACCTCTTTACCTAAACAAGATGATATCATGCTAATACAATGAACAAGCCATGTTTCCTGTTTAATAACCTGGAAATGCAATTGAAATTCCAATCACAATGTTAAAAATGAATCCTTGCACTCAGGGGGTCAAAGACACAAGAAGTGAAAACAGAAATACTCCACTTCCTCTGGTGTTTTGAAAGAAAACACATGTTCAGTAAGCATATTGCTGAAGAAAACATGTCTGAGAAACTGCTTTTCCTCTATATTTCCTGCCTTCTTGTTCATTAAACTTACTGCAAAATATTAGGTATTTGCCTGCGTTAGTACTTTCCGATGCTGCTAGTCCAGGAAATGCAGTATGAAAATACAGACTTTTGCCTGTAGTTTTAAGGTAAGCCAGGGATCGGGCAGTCATGTGGAATTAGAAAAGACATGTTAGCCAGAAAATCTGGAACTCAATTCAAAACTTGAATTAAATAAAATGCATCAGTTTATAATGCTCCTTGCAGATCTCCCTTACCTTCACTTAAACTCACACAGTCTACAGTCAGACCATGTGCTGAAGTCAGCCTCATTTGCTTTCTTCTAATGTCAGTAATTTCAACCAAGTGTTGCAAAATATTTTTGGATCCACTATTATCATCTGCATTTTTTATTTTTTTTGTAGTGGTAAATTCACTACTTCTTCCTGTAAAGGAAGGATCCTTCAACATTTAGTCCTACTCTAGATGTATAAGATTACTACGTAGAACTCCATCCACATTCAGGACTTGTCTTTGATGCAGTGACTTAGCATGTCAGAAACAGGAAAAAGACAAATTGGGCCTGATTGATTTACTTTTTTTATTTAATAATATGTTGAATTATCTACAAAGATGCTAGCCTGTAATACCTAACTCTGCTTTCTACTTTAAGTACATCCCATGCAACTAAAAATGAATAAAGTAGTAATTTCTGGCAGTCTTTTCCCAC